GGCGGGGGTGGGTGGACACTGCGCGGGGCGGGCTGCTGATTGGCTATTGTGCAAGCGTCTGGAAGTGCCGCTGCAATGGGCGGGGTCAGAATGGGAGGAGGCGTGTCTGGGGACTGGAGCGGGCCAGCTGGGATAGCGGCGCGATGGTCCGGCTCCTACCTGGGCTGTCGCATGGAAGTGAAGCCCACACACCTGGCGTGGTCTCAGCGCCGCTAGATGGGCCCACATAACACCCAGGAGGTGTGTGCGTTACACGCACGGGGCAAAAATAACTTCACATTTCCTACAGGTTCTGCTGTGTGGCAGCCTCTCCTGGGGGTGGACTGCAGCTGTAAATAATTCAAGTGTGGGATGGGCCCGGGAAGGTGTCTCAGGGCACGGGGTACAGTGGGTGTGGAGGAGCTCAGGGCAGGACTCTCATTGACAAAAATGTGCCTTATTTCTAGTTTGATTTTTTTTTTTTTTGGCTTCAGCTTCCAGACATTTGTTATGTTTTTTCTTTGCTAAATTAAGGAGCCCTATAGTGTCTGATATTATATCTACACTGTAATTAAGTCACCTCTTGGTCATATTTTTATAAACTAAACATATTGAGTTCTTTAAGCCTCTCACAGAAAAGCTTACCATTTACCCATCCATGTTAAAAGAATGCCTTTTTAGTCGTGGCTTCACAAATGGCAGCACCAAGTACATCAGCCTTCAATAACAAACATACCCACCCATGAAGGCTTCCTTCAGGAGAGAGGCACTGAGAAGGATGCATACATGGCAAATGCTATTCAGCTCACTTGGTTTACTGCTGTAAGATGTCACACAGATGAGAGTAGTACAAGAATTTGAAAAGAACAGAATGTTAAACATATATAGGGTATGTGGGTATTTATATATACTACAAGGGTATTTTGAAATATGTTATTTAAAAATAACTCCTGAAATAACTATTTTGAAATAGCACATCCACACTACAGGGCCTAGCTCTTACTATTTAGAAGGATAGTGATAGAGATGCAGCCATGTTAGTCTGGTCTAGCTGAAACAAACCATCTTGTTAGTCTTTAAAGTGCTGCATAGTCCTGTCTTTTATTAGGTGATGAGCTTTTGTGGGCCAGACCCACTTCCTCAGATCAAATAGTGGAAGAAAATAGTCACAACCATATATACCAAAGTGATACAATCAAAAAAAAAAGTGAACACACATAAAAATGACGTATCAGGTTTAAGAACAAAGGAGCGGTGATGGGGAAAGGTTAGTGTCTGTGAGGTAATGACATTAGGGGTGATAATTGGGAAAGCTATCTTTGTAATGGGTGAGATAATTAGCATCTTTGTTAAGACCCATACAAAAAGGGTCAAATTTAACCATGAATGACAGTTCTGAGGCTTCACTTTGAAGTCTGGAGTTAAAATCTCTTTGAAGCAATATGCATGTTTTAAGGTTATTGAGAGAATGGTCAGTCTGGTTGAAATGGCAAGCAACAGTTTTCTCTCTCTCAGAGAGCCTGATATCTGTTTTATGTGCAATGATTCTTTGGCGAAGTGTCTGAGAAGCTTGTCCAATACACATAGCAGACGGACACTTTAGGCACATGATGGCATAAATTATATTTCTGGATGTTCTTGATCTTGTAACTGGCATGGTTAGGCCCATAATGGTGTCAGCAGAGTAAATATGTGGACAAAGCTGGCACCGGGGTTTGTTGCAAGGGAAAGTTCTAGAGTTGGTATTAGTTTGGTATGTCCTGTGGTTGTTGGTAAGAATCATCCTGAGGTTAGGTGGTTGTCTATAGGAGACTATGGGTCTGTCTCCCAGAGCCTCTCGGAGGGTAGTATGCTGTTCCAGTATAGGTTGTAGTTTATTGATAATGCGTTGGGCGGGTTTAAGTTGGGGGCTATAGGTGATGACAAGTGGTGTTCTATTGTTGGTTTTCTTGGGTCTGTCTTGAAGTAGATGATTTCTGGGTATTCGTCTGGCTCTTTCAATTTGTTTTTTTTTATTTCTCCGGGTGGGTAGTTGAGGTTTATAAATGCTTTGTAGAGATCCTGAAGTTTCTGGTCTCTGTGAGTGGGATTAGAGCAGATGCGATTGTATCGAAGGGCTTGGCTGTAGACGATGGATCGTATGGTGTGTCCTGGATGGGAGCTGGAGGCATATAGGTAACTGTAGGAGTCAGTGGATTTTCTGTAGAGAGTGGTGTCTAATTTACCATTGGTGATTTGTACTGTGGTGTCCAGAAGGAATTATTGAACAAATAGGCGCACGCAGACAGGCGGATGTACACCCACATACTCAAAACAATGTCCATCTAGCTCAGTACTCTGTCTTCTGACAGTGGCCAATGCAAGGTGCTTCAGAGGCTATGACTAGAACAGGGGTAATCATCAAGTGATCCATCCCCTGTCATCCATTCCTAGCTTGTAGCAAACAGAGGCAATGGAAACTTCAGAGCATTGTTTTACACCCCTGTCCATCCTGGCTAATAGCCATTGATGGACCTATCCTCCATAAAATTATCTAGGGATTTTTTTAACCCTTTTATAGTCTTAGCCTTCACAAAATCTTCTGGCAAAGAGTTCCGCAGTTTGATTGTGTGAAGAATACTACGTTTTGTTAGTTTTAAACCTGCTGGTTTCTTTGGGTGACCCCTACTTCTTGTGTTATGAGAAGGAATAAATAACACTTCCTTATTTACTTTCTCCATACCAGTCATAAAAGAAACGTGAATTAAGTCAATCCTAAAAACTGCCTGAATAAATGTACATTCATTCTCCACAAGAGCTTTGTGCATGTAAATTTAAACTTTGTAACCATTTAATTGAATCAACGTGCCTAGAGCATCAAGAGTAAACTTGAAATATTCCAGTGGAAATGATAGATATCATTGAAATGGTTAACCATTAAGGAATGGCTGAAAAAGTAGAATTATAGTGGAAAGAGAAATAGGCATAAAAGATAAAAGGTAGAATTTTAAAAATATAACTCAGTCTATGTCTATACAGGCAGTCCCTGAGTTACGCGGATCCGACTTATGTCGGATCCACAGTTACGAACGGGGTCCTCCTTCTCCCTAGTCTCCAGCAGACCAGGGAGAGGAAGCAAAGCGGCGGAACACGCGGACAGCCCAGACGCGTCTGGGCTGTCAGCTGCCCGCGTGCTCCGCGGCTTTGCTCTGCTTTGCTCCCCATCCCCCTGGTCTGCAGACCAGGGGGATGGGGAGCAAAGCAGAGCAAAGCCGCGGAGCACGCGGGCAGCTGACAGCCCAGACGCGTCTGGGCTGTCCGCGTGTTCCGCCGCTTTGCTTCCTCTCCCTGGTCTGCTGGAGACCAGGGAAAGGGCCCCGTTCGTAACTGCGGATCTGACGTAAGTCGGATCCGCGTAACTCGGGGACTGCCTGTATAGGAATGAAGAGCGATCAGTTAAACAAGGGAGATCTTCCTGTTCCCTGGAAAATGTGTACAGCATATGCTGGCACTGGCACCTGTGGAGTTGATCCTTGATCATGAGAAGGAAACGTTTGCACACAAATCTGACCTATTTAAGTACTAGAAGGTTGATATGCAGAGTGAATTTTAAGGCAGTCCATTAGCCTTGAGTACTATGCATTTGAAAATGAGCTCCTGGATCCTATTAGAGATGCATCTGATGCTGTGGTGGAGGAAAGTAGAGGAAAAGGAACTCCAGCACAGACCTTATCCAGGTCTTTCCACCAACTAAGCAAATCAGAACCTGATAAGAACAGGAAGCCCCTGCCCCGGGCTTCCTGGAATCAGCCGCTGATCAGTTTCAGCAGCAGCTGACTTGGGGATGCCTGGGGTTCTTAAGTTGAATTTGTATGTAAGTCAGAACTGGCGCCCAGATTCAGCCACTGTTGAAGCTGATCAGTTTCAGCAGCGGCTGAATCTGGACGCCAGTTCCGACTTACATACAGATTCAACTTAAGAACAAACCTACAGTCCCTATCTTGTACGTAACCCGGGGACTGCCTGTACTACAGTTCATGTCTGCAGATCTTATGGAGCAGTCTGAATATAAGTCAATGAGTAACTAATGATTAATTATTTCTAACCAATTCACAAATAACTAACCAAAGATTATTAGTCCTTAAATTATCAGAGTAAAGTTCTCTTCTGCATTATTTTCTTACTGTTCATGCTTTCATATTGCTTTATTTGCTGATCACTTTGCTGTCATTAGGAGTAGTGAGCTCTTTAAATACTCTTTTTGTTCTCTTTGGACAGCAACATCTCAGATCCATCCCTCTGGTCTGGCTAACAGATATGAACAGTACATTTCCTCTTGTTGCAAGCAATACAAATATTATGTTTTTGTAACCCCTCATTTCCTTGTATGTTTGAAGGCCATAAATGATTCACTACAACAGCTTAAAAACTTGTCTCTCTCACCAACAGAACTTAGCTTAATAAATGATATTACCTCACCTACCTTGTCTCTCACTCCCCAAACTGGTTTTTATGAATTTTGTGCTGTAATTTCTTAACGGAAATGTAAGAAGTAGTCTACACAAGTTCATTACTATTTTAACTACTTTCATCATATTACCAGTGCTATAGCAAACATGAACTATA